TTTTCGTATATGGAAAAACAATAGATATGCTGTCTGGCTCATAAAGTGAGGAATTTCCCACTAAAAATTTTACATGCCGGTACGTGAAAGCTGAATTTGAACATATGGATGGGGAACATCCCTCCAAATTTCAGCCTTTTCGGCTTCCAGGCTAGCGACTTTCACATCACAATTCTCATGTGGTTTTACGTAAGACCTCTGCAAACTTGGGAGCTAAACTTGAGTTTGTGAGATACTTGCAGCGGCAGAAAATATCGTCTTGAGATTTCAGCTTCTAGCTTTTATGGTTTCCGAGATAATCTTCCGCTAAAACTTTCAGCTTTTATAGTTTCCGAGATAATCTTTCGCTAAAACTTAAAACTTTCACGCGGCCGTACGCGATACAAAGGCGCACGGGAAAACTGAATTTAAATTTTCTGCGTTGCACCTGGTCAGGCGGCATACTCACAAAATTTCGACTCCCTAGCCTCCGCGGTTCCTGAGATAATGAGTTTACCTGCTAAAACTTGTACGAGGCCGTGTATGTTACCCACATGCATAGGAAGGTTGCGCTTAAGTTCTCTGGATCGCACGTGTACAGAGAGTATACCCACAAAATTTCAACTTCCCAGCTTCAGTGGTTCCCGAGACGACGATCTTACCCGAGAAACTTTTACGGGGCCGTACTTGTTACCGCGGGTACGGGAAGGTTGAATTTAAATTTGCCGCGTCACCCGTTGGCTGGGAACACTATACTAAAATTTCAGTCGCCTAGCTTCTGTGATTTCCGAGTTGAAAGTGTGGGACAAAATGTGGGATACACACACACACAACCCCGTGAAAACATGCGTTTTGTATTGCTGTTACATAGCACGAAACGCATAAAAATTAAAGTAGAAGACATGAAAAAAAAAAATAAAAACAAAGTAGAAAGGGGACAAAATCCTCAAACAGCAGCAGAACAAGACAAACCTGTGAGCTGTCAACGACCGCGCGAACAAAAATGATGAAAGAGGAACTACTCACAAAAAGTACTTTGAGAGTACTCTTCCGCTGCATTTCCTTTCCACTTGGAATGGCCAAAATCGCAAAAATATTCGGTCCTTTTTTGCAGATTCGACGGAAAGGGAATCCTGATACCGGGGTGTATGCTACAATCAGGCGCTGGTTTTCCGTCTCCAATCGGTTATGCTCATCGCTTGTACCATGTATGTACAGTCGTGAAAAACTTGCGAAAAGTCGGCAAAAGAAGAGA